AAAGCATGTGCTAGACTATGTGTAGGGGTACAAAGTGTAATAAAACCAGGTCCTTGTCCTCAGGGCCTTAGAATGAATCATGTGTCAACCTTTTGAGACTTAAAGGGAGTAGATGGAAGAGAAGAAGTAGGGTAAGTGCTGCACTATCAGACACATAGTACATACTCAATAAACAAGATCACTTTCCAGGCTCATTTACACAATATTTAAAATCTCTCTAGGACACACTTCGAATTCTCCCGCACTTCACAATTGGAACATAGAAAAAATAAACCAAAAATTTTCAGTATGCATTCTAATTTTCAAGCCTCAATTACTTACTGTTTTTATGAGCTGCAAAAAGGAAAAAAAAAAAAGGTATTTTCCAATGCATTAAGGACTTTCTTTGGTGGTTCCCCAAATGGAGAGGAAATGAGATGCATCTCTGACCTAGTACGCCATTTTATGGTTATTTTTTGCTTATATAAGTGTGTTCCCCATAGAATAATTGACTGTCTAACTATAACTAACTCATGTCACAATGTTTCCTCCACTAGCTTTAAAAATTTAAATGATGTCAAATAAATTTTGAGATTAAAGAATTTTACTAATATATATAATGAATCTAGTTCATAATAGAAAATAATAATTTTCAGTCCTGGAAAACTCACTTCTACAAGGCAGACAACAAATTGTCATAGTTCATAATAGAAAACAATAATTTTCAGTCCTGGAAAACTCAATTCTACAAGGCAGACAACAAATTTTAGAAATATAAGTAGAAATCAAATTATAAAATGTGTCTTTTCTGTCTCAATCTGGAACTAGTGTCTCGTATAATCAGAATATTAAAAACTTTCTGTTCATGATCATTTGTCCATTTCAGTATATTGTAGATATTTGCTACTCTATAATCAAAATCAAAATTACATACTTAGAATTTTCTCAACAAAGAACATTACAAAACACAATTCAAATGAGAAGTCAATGAATATTAATTACTAGGAATAAACAGTTTTTTAATTCTAACATTGTATACCTTTAGTATTTAAAATTATAAAAAGTGATAACTGTTAGACTAAATGAATATTAAATTGTGTAAAATTCTCAAAAAGGGTTAATTTATTTTTGAAATAGAGCTTGGTCACCCATAGTAAAACTCTCATTATTTATTTTCTATTACTTAATGTCTAACATCATAGTCTATTCATATTTTTTGATGCTCTGTAACTTGTTTACTTATTCATTAATGTAATAGACATTTATTGAGTGTCTACCCTGTGCCTTGTGCTGTAGCAGGACCAGTGTAGCAGAGAAGAATGAAACAGATAAAAATCTCTGTCACTCTGGAGCTGGTATCACATAAACACTACTCTAAGAAGGTAGATAAAGGTCAAGGGTGTCAAATGGTCAATATATATGGTGATAGAAGGAAATTTAACTTTAGGTGGTAAAGAAACAATGCAGTATATAGATCATGTATTATTGAATTGTATACTTGAAATCTATTTAATTGTATTAACCAATATCACCCCAATAAATTTGAATGAATGAATGAATGAATGAATGAATACATACATACATACATACATACATACATACATACATACATAAATACATAGATTCCATGGAAAACACAAAGACTTCTTTGCACTTAAGGCTGGTAAAGAATAGTAAAGGTAAAAGCACTGTATTAGGACATGAACTAAACATTTTATATGTGTTGCCTTATTTAATTTCCTCAAAATATGATGAGTTATGCCATAATTATTTTCATTAACATATTTCACTAATATGCCATAACTATTTTCACTGAGTTTCAACACAGATTTGGGGCCCAAATTTGTGTTCTTAAACACTATGACCAATAAATTTTCATTGATGCAAGAAGTTGTTGTAGCACAATAAATTGCTAGAAAATGAAGGAGGCCATCTAGATTTAGAGCTGATGAAATACTGAAAAAAGAGTAAGTGTTCAGAAGTTCTCCATAGAAAGTTTAGTCATAAGGTTGTAGACTGAGCATTTGCATAAAGAATTAAAGGTGGTGCAATTGTACAAATATATGTGATTGTAATGCCTCATACATGTAAAAGTTGGGTGGCCCATAGAGAAAACATTGTTCAAGGGGACAAGAAGAAGATGCAACATTCCTAAGCTCTGTTTCACCTTGTTTTCACCATTCCATTGCATTATTTCTTGGCCTAATTTTGAATCATTTAGAGATCATCTAATTAGAGAATTGTTTTCTCAATCTTTTTTTCCAGGCACTTCCCAGCATAAACATGCAGCTGATCCACTATCCCCTATCTAAGGAAAGAAGTATGAAAAAAGTCTCATTCTTTTCAAGTCTTGGAGAAGAATGTCAAACAAGGAGGTCAATATTACAAAGGGCACAGGACAGTTGTGGAACAAGCAGCTTGTGCTTCATGAGTCAGTAATTGCTGGATTCCATCTCAGGGACTGCATTCTTCAAGATGTCTGAATATTCGAATCATGATGGACTGTACTTAGTACAGAACACTTCTATTTTTGTGTATTTTAAATACCTTTAAGACGTTTCCTGATAAAGTCAACTAAATTTCTGGATAATTTGTAAACAAAACAAAACAAAAACCTTCTGAGCCATCGTGAAAGTAGGATGTTATGGGCGTAAAAAAAACCAAAGAGAAATCCAAGAATCTTGGGAGCTGTGCAATCACCAAAGGTTGGCTTTTACTCTAAGGGCTGAAAGTGGGAAAATTTGAGCTTCCAGTCTGATGGCTGCATAGAGCCCAAAGGTCAAGAGATAAGATTTAGGGTTGAGAATTTTTCTCCAGTCTCCCAGACTATTGCTGTGGACATCGAGAGATTTTCTCGTGTGCTGCTCTCACTGCTCACTTCCCCTAAACAAAGAGTTGCAATTATAGCTAAGAGGAGAGTGTGGAGAAGAGCAGATATGGGTCTGGGACTTGCTTTTCCCTTCCTTCCATCTGGATGGTGAAGTATCCACCTAGAGCTGTATTTCTTCTTACCCTCCCTAGAATCCCACAGGAGTGAATCAAGCTTTCTGACAAATGTATTGCTAAGTCACAGAGCACATGCCTGGCCCTAACAGTGAGCACAATGGACTGTAGAAGTCAAGGACACAGAATTGTGCATCAAGATCTGTTCTCATTCTCCTAAAATCCCAGGGACAAGCCTGGGTGCCAGTTCTTCATAGATTGGAACAAGGGTGGCCACCTGAAAGGTATGCTGGTGGTTAAGTTTATTTGCATGCCTGGCAGTGTTTACATCATGGTCTATATATCCCAGACCCTCGCCATCAGATTCCTGGTAGGGTTACTTTATAGGACTTCTGTAATTGGCTATAGCCCTCATTGTAAATCTTTGGCCTTTCTCTAGATAACAACAGATGGTGTGGTGAGGAGAACCAGAGACCACCAATAGCATTAATTGCTACCACTTATTTGGAGCTGACACTGCTAGGTCCTGAACACATGTGATAGGTACCATCATCCCCATTTTATCAATGTTGAAACTGAGGCTCAGAGAGGTCTAGGGACCCATCAAAGTTGCTCAGCTAATAGGCGAGTAAATCAGGATTTAGACCCTGCTCTGACACCACAGCCTGTTTCAGAGCCTCTGCCAGCCTGGCTGCCCCCACTTTCAGTTGCTCGGCTAGACTGGCAGTACTGCCTCTTGGAAATGGGGAGTAGTGGCTGCTCCTAGTGTCAGTTTCTCCAATAAACCATGTCACGATCCACTTAGGGCAGGGCAATGGTCTAAGAGTATCAATCTAGGACTTATATTCTTGCAGGTTTATAGCATTTAGAACACTTCAGAGAAATGAGACCCTTAAAATTCCATTTGATTATTTGTTTAGCAGCTTAGCTATCTTCCCAGTTACAATGATCACAGGAAAATTTTTTTCCCTCTACTTGAATAAGCACACCATATGGTGAGGTGGGTAATGCCTAAGGCTTCAGACTCTCCCAGGCAGAGATTTCTTGACTCACAGACTGTAACTGAATGTCCTTGGGGTCTTATAAATAAATCATTTTTTTTTATTGTGTTAATATTCAACTGCTATTGAGCAGGTCAATTTTTTTTTTTTTTTTGCCGTGACATATATTTCTGGAAACCCGCTCATTTTCACCAATTGCCTTTTCTCAAAAAATATGAAACTGGCTTGAATAAAATATATTGAATTATGTTTGGGGAGAGTGCTGAGAAAGCCAAACCGATGAGCCCCCCAAATCTGCTTGTCACCTGCTGTGGATTTCTAAATCATGCCATGAAGAATAAAGCACTGCCAGGAGTGTCTCAGATCAAATGTCAAAAGTGTCTGATTTAATTGTTAGCGTAAGGATTTAAGATGCTGTTTTTCCCTGGTGCTAACACCTCTCATTGATTCTGGAGCATTTCTATTTGTTGTTTATCAGAAACGGTCTCAGTATTTACAGCCCTATCACTCTAGAAGGGAAGCATTTGCAATTTGCACTTTCAATTTTGACTCCTAGACTCCTTCTTCTTTAAATATCCCTCAAATGGTGTCAGACTGTAATTCAATGAATGCTTTGTAAGTGGTTGCACACAGCAGTTCTCATCCCCATAGGCAAACATTACAGAAGGACCCTCATAATTCTTCGCTAATTGAAATCTAAAATGATGAACCCTAGTTAGGCCCAACCTCACCATTGTCAGAACCTGTGGGTGCATTTGCGTGTGTGTTCATGCTTGCATGCCTGCATGCTGCAACTGGAGGCATATCTTATGGAAGATTGTATTGTTTAAAATCAGGCACATCGATACTTATTTATATCCCATTCCACATGATTTTCTTATGATGAAATGTTAGCATTCCTCCATCTGGATGTAGGCTCATCATTTCCTCCTCTTGAACTTGAGGAGATCTTTGTAAACTCTTTGACCAACAAAATGTAGTAGAAATGGTGCTGTATGCCTTCCGAAGTTCAGTCCTAAAGAGCAATCCATATCCTGCATCTCTCTCTGCTTTTCTCCCTCTCTTTCCCAATGGAACTCAGACCATGTTATCAGGAAGCCCAGGCCATGTGGAGAGGACACAAGTGCATGGATACTCTGGACAACAGCCCTGGCTAACACTCAGCAGTACCTAACTTCAACCTCCATGGGACCCTGAGCCAGAATCAACCAACCAAGCCACAACCTAATCCACAGAAACTGTGAGTTAATGAATGATTATCATTATGTAAAGCCACTTCATTTTGAAGAGATTTGTTATGATGCAATAGGCAACTAAAAGATACCATTTCTCATTTTCCCTGATTTGGAAATCAATCAGTATACAAAATATTTTTTTCCTATTTTGATATTATAAACACTCGAGTGATAATTCTAAATGGGATTTTTGTTATCAATAAACTTGTTAAAAATAATAATTAACAACTCCATGAATGAACTGTAATATAAAATGTGGACTTTGTATGATAATGATGTATCAGTGTAGGTTCATCACTTGTAACAAATGTACCACTCTGGTGGGATGTTGATAGTCAGGGAGACTATGCATGCATAGGGGCAGGGTCTATGTGGAAAATCTCTGCATCTTTCCTCAGTTTTGCTTTGAACCTTAAACTGCTCTAAAACAAATAAAGTCTTCATAACATATAAATACTAAATTAATGATAATTATAATTTTAAAAGTTAACATTTACTGAGGACTTGCTATGCATCCTCTAAATAACGCTGTAAGGTGGCACTGCTAACTACGAGGCTACACTAACATGAAAAGTTTATAGAACACCCGGAATACTTAGCGGCTCTCCAGGTTCTGGGATGAGAAAAGTAGTCCTGAAGTTTGAGTGACATTGGGATATAGGGAGGCCTGGCTATTTGGTAAGCAAGGACAAACAAATCATTCATTCATTCATTCATTCATTCATTCATTTGATAAGTGTTTGCAGAGCCACCTACACATGCTAACCCTTATTCCAGGTGCTAGGGATAGAGCAGTGAACAAAGTGCAAAAACCCCGTCCTCATGGTGTTGACCTTCCAGTAGACTAGACCATGTCTCTTCCAGTTTCGCAGGGTGACCACTGCAGATCCCACTGTGCACCCCAAGCTGCTCCCTCCTGTTTTGCCGAGTCATCACAGACATTAAAAAAGAGCCAATAATGGAACATACTTAGGGTCACGCGCTCATTCTCTACTCATCCCTAACTGTAAGTAAAAAGAGCAAAATGAATGGAATGCAAAGCTAGAGGGAAAAGAAGAAAATTTCAATACCAAGTCAACCACAGCTCAATTTAAAAGAGAGAGAGAGAGAGAGACAGAGAGAGACAGAGAGAGAGAGAGAGAGAGAGAGAAGAGAGAGATAGAGAGAGAAAGAGAGAGAGAGAGAGAGAGAGAGAGAGAGAAATGGAGACTTTGGTAATAATCTCTGATGGGAAGAAGGAAGAAGTCGATTTTGGAGCTTGGGAAACTCTGAGTATGGGAAACAGCACATTTGAGTAGGAACTTAGTTCAGTCATGCCTAAGAACACCAGAGTCCAATAGGGGCTAAGTTAGAAGAGGAGATGGGAAGAATCCAAAGAAATATTTTGCTTATTTGGAAATTATGCTCAGAGTCAGTGCTGATGGAGATTAGGAGCTACAGAAGTCACAACTATTTTCAAGTTACCCCAAAGCTCATATAAAATAGCTGGTTCATATTAAAAATCATGTTCTGTTTCTATTCCATTGGGTTCTGAAGATTTAGAGGAGAGAGGGTGAAGGTACTAAACCTAACTTCTCTCTGAGAAGAGTCATTTAACTGCTCACCTTAGGCAAATTATAGATTTTGCAGACTGCTAGGAAGTTGTAATTGGAGCCTGACTTCTCTAGCTAAAGAGGAGGTTTGTGTAAAGCCCTTCCCCAGGCCTGAAGCTGGGTAGAGAGCCTGACCAAATAACTGTTGATGTTTCATGACACAGAAACCCAAGCCAGCAAGGCAGTGTATAAGGAAAAACCAGAAGTGCTGCCAGGGTCCCAAAGAGTTCCTAACAAGCCTGCAATGCGAGTACATGGCTGAGGGTTGGCTAGCTGCAAAGCAGTCGTGAGACTCCGTGGATTTCTCTGCTCTCTTGTGAAAAACAGTGATCTTCCCTTCATGTAATCATCTGGTTAAAAATCTTACTTCGGCAACCTCTGAAGTTCTATTAACATTTCAAAAATTGTTGTCAGTCTTTCATAACAACAATGGCTGAGGAAGTAAAGTCTAGGAATCTTGATATCTACTTCTATGATTTCCTTACCAAAGGTTTCATAAGATAAATCTGCTCTCTGCAGTTTCCTCAAACCTCTTCAAGTGGCAAAGGTAAAAGTGTCATGTAAATAAAAATGTCCCAAACTAAAACTAGTTTAATGAAGAAAAGTCATACAGAGAGTGACTTGTATCTTAAACACATACATCTAAACTCTGGACACAAAATAATGTGTCCAGAGTTTAGAATTAAGAATCTTAAAGTGAATTTAATATCATACATAGAATAAGTTTTAAATTTAAAAATGAAAGAAAAATATCCTTCCTCTCTCTTAGTATCTATTTCAGGCTTTTTTTTTTTCCCCCCAAATTAATTGGGAAACAGGGAAAAGTAAGGAAATAAACAGTGCTTCATCCAAGGCAACCAAACACTCTGGGTCCAGCCCTCCGCCTGGGTGAGAGAAACTGTTCTCATTTCTCACCTCTCCTCTGATGAAAGAATATTAAGCTATCTTTGAATGGAAGCAGATTCTTTACCAAAAGAGAGACATATAACTTTAAAGAAAAAAAATGAAGATACTCCTTGGAAGGTGCTTGGTTACATGATTAGGAAATTTTTTTGAGATGAAACCTAATGGAAAAACTTAAAATCTCTGTACGAAAACACAACCTCAAAAGAGCAAGGAAAAACATCTTTGCCATATTTATGAACAATAAAAGACTATGTTTTTCTATCTACAAATAGCTTATTTAAATCAACCCAATAGAGACATGACATACTACGCAGTAGGAAAAGTAGAAAAAGAATGTAAAGAAGAGATTTATAGAATTAACCAGTTAGCATACGAAAGATGTTTGGCTCATTTATTAATTTAGATGTCAATTGAACATTAACAAGATACCATGTTTACTTTTCAGAAAGACAGAAAATTAAAAGTTTGAGTTTATCTTGTACTATCAAAGATCTTGGAAATATAAGTTTTTGCACATTTTAAGTGAGATAATAATTTCATATAATTTTACTATAAGAAATTTTGCAAATATCTATCAAAATGTAAAATACATATACTTTTCAAGCCAATAATCTTACTGCGCACACCCAAATAAGTTTACTGCGAAGAACTTCCCAGGATATACGTGAAAATTTTATATAATGGTGTGTGTGTGTGTGGTGTGTGACTGTGTCTTCACACATATGGGTGTTCATTGTAGTATTCTTTGTAAAAAAATAAAACTGGATACAATCAGAGTCAGCCAATAGGAATTAAACAAATTATAGGACAAAAACATAATAAAACAGTATAAAGTCATTAAAGAGAATGAGTTCAGTAAAAATGACTCATAATGTAAGTGAATAAAGCAAAGTGTACATAGTATATTTAATATGATCTTTTTGCTATAAGATAAAGATAGAAATATATAAGAAAGGGAGAGAGAGATGCCAGTATACGCAATGCCCTCTCCACTGTAAGAGATATAAGAAACCGTCAATCAGTTACAGTCTGGAGAAAGCCTGAGAGTTGGGGTCATGGCAAAGCAAAATAATTTTATTTTCATTTTATTCCGTTTTGTACCTTTTTATATTTTGTAGCCTAATACATTATTAATTTCATTTTATAAAAATGCCAACTGTGTTATCTGAGCCAGGAAGTTATAGTCCAACTCTTATTTTCTTCTTTGTACTTCTCTGCATTAAAAAAACCCATACTATTAACTATTAAATTAAAATATGTATATCTTCCTCTCTTTTTCTTACACGTTGAGGATCAAAGTTATATTTCCCTCCCAATAGCTAGAATAATCCATATGGTAACGAATTGAAGTTGTAGATAGCAGGAACTCCTGTTATCTATATTAGCTTAATACAGATACAGTTAGTTACATATAGAAATATTTATAAATAATACCTTGTGGCAAAAATCTGTACTTTTAAAAGATCATCATCTCTTACATCACAGCATAAAAACTATTGACTTAAAATAGATTACGACCTAAATGTAAAACCTGACTGTGAAATGTTTTTAAAAATCTCATAAGAATAAAGTCTCTATACTCTTGAGAAAGGCAAAAATTTTTAGACAGCACACAAAAAGTACAAATCATACATTGTAAGATATTATCTGTTAGCCTATGTCTCAAGTAGCAATGTCTGAAATTTGTTCAATTCCCTCTTCCCTTCCCACCCCCTCTCCATTTGAGATCTTTGAGTTTCAACAGGGTGCTCCCACAGCCATCAGTGGAACCCACAGTGAGAACTCTGTCTCTAAAGGTAGAACACAGGCACTGTGGCTGGGGAAGGGGAGGGCTGGGTTTGGTTCCTGCAACTAGAGATGCTCTTCTTTCCCAAAATAAGATCCCTCTTGCTAAATCATAAACTAAAGCAGACCAAGGCTTTTAAGAAAAGAAAAGTCTTATGTAGACAAGATGAGTTTTCATATTCAATAACTTTTGTTTTTATGGCACTAAAAATAGGAATTCAAAGAACACAAAATCAGAGCATCCCTTTAAAAACTGGTTCTTTTGTGGACAACTTCTGAATTCTCCCTCTGCTGTCTGGATTGTGGGGTTCACTGGAGGACTCAGGTGCAAAGATAGGGCATATATGCCCTAGGTGTCCTCCGCAGAACCCTGACCTGTTTCTCTTAACTATTTGCCTGTTTTTAAAAACAAACTAATAGAATCAAAGAATGATTTTTTTTTTTTTGAAGCAGATGTATTATTTTGAGTGGGCAGCTCTTTAACTGCTCTCCTTTGGGAAATTTTAATATCATAAGCAATCAAAAATTGTATAGTATCTGTAGTAATTGTTTCACAAACTAATCATTTTGCCCCTTCCTTGCGCTTCCCTTCCCTCGCTGCAGACCAAAGTGGTTTGAATGTGTCCTCCAAAAAGATATGTTGAAGTTCTTACCCTCAATATCTGGGAATGTGACTTATTTGGAAATAGGGTCTTTGCAGATGCAATTACTTAAGGATCTCAAGAAGAAAGCATCTTGGATTTAGAGTGAGCCCTAAATTCAATGACTGGTATCTTTATAAGAGGAGGGAAAACACAGAGACACAAAGAAGGAGCCACATGAAAGAGAGAGGCAGAGATTAGGGTGATGTAGCTATAAACCAAGGATTGCTGGAACACAGCAGCAGCTAGAAAGAAGCAAAAAAAGAGTCTCCTCTAGAGTCTTCAGAGGGAGCATTGCCCAATGACACTTTGGTTTTGGACTTGCCACCTCCAGAACGGTGAAAAAATAAATTCCTATTGCTTTCAGTCCCCCAGTCTCTGGTAATTTCTTACGGCATCCCTAGGAAACTAATACACTGGCCAGTCTTATAAATACACCTGGATTACCAACAATATTTCATTTAGACCATGTCCCAAAGCTATGTCAGAGAAACAAGTCATTGAAATTAGAGTCAGGAATTTTTCTTAGTCTAGCTTAAGGTAAAAGCAGAAGTCGACGTGATAGCATGTAGAGAAAAAACAAAGGCTTTTTTTTTTTTAAATGAATTAGTATGAATTGCCAATTAGGAGAATTATTTTTGAAAACAGTCTGGTATTATCTTGTAAAGCTGAAGATGTGCACAGCCTTTGACTGAGCGTGACCACTGCAAAGGAATGAAACTATTGCACGTGAGGACAAGTGCAGAAACTTTTTTAAAACGTTGTTGTTACTAATAGGCATAAACTGGAAAAAATCCAAATGTCCATCAGCAGGATAATGACATATTAAATGTGTAGTATACTTACAAAAGAATGTTATTCTACAGTTCGTAGTCATAAACCACAGCTACATGAAACAAAATGAATGACTTTCACACATAACGTCAAACCAAAAAAAGCAAGACAAGAAGAATGTATACATAATATGATTCTATTTACAGAAAATCCTTAAAATAGTCCTCAAAACTAAATAAGATGCCAATAAATCCATAAAAACCTAAATTATATGATTCGGAGATGCATCCTTGGGTAGTAGGACTATAGAGCAGAGCAAGAAAGTGATTACTATAAAGTTTAGGGTGGTGGTAGGAAAGTAAGTGCTTATGACTGAGAAGAAATAGACAGGTAGGGGGCTCTAAACACAGTGGTGACATTCTTTTTATTAAGCTGCATGGTGTTTTTACAGATGTTTATATTTTTATTTCTATATCTTTATTCATTATACTCTCTTTCTTACATAGAAAATATTTTAAATATTTTTAAAACTAATTTTTTAAAAAAGATAAAAGATAAAATAAGGAAAGAAAATAATTTATAGAAGCTTTAAAAGCATAAAATATTCTAATTCACCTTGAAGAAATTTGTGTGTTTTAATATTGTTCTTTCACATTATTTTTCCTGCTCTGGTTTTCTGCCTGTCAGATAAACTCTTAGTCAAGGGATTTCTACTGAAATCCAAGACTCTGGAAAAGGAGGAGAATATGATTAAAAAAAGCAACTCAACAACTCTTAATTGTTGCCTCGAGGTCAGTCTACTGGGAGAATGTGGTATTTAGCTTTACCGCAGACTAGCTTTCCCAAGACTGTTAAGTGGTGGCTGATATTGGCTGGAGACGCATAGGTGTAAGAGACCAGCTAACATGCAGCACTTTACCATTTTCAAGAGCTTTTCAAAGCCCTCAGCTGAGCCTTGTCTAAGCCCAGTGAGAAGAACTTACTGCTATTTTATTTGTCAGATTGTTAAACTACAGAGAAGTTAAGGGATTTGTCCAAAGTCACAAAAATGACAGAGCCAGAATTGGAAACTAGGTTTTTTTCAATCGAATTCAATGACTTTTAATGGAATTCTGTGGCAAATGTACTGACATCAACACACAGGCGACAGAAGACTTGGTAGCATTAAACTGGCTTGACACAAACATCTCCAAATCACACTGTCAAGTCATGGACCATGAGTCAACAGGATTGGAGGAGGTGTGCCGAAGACAGACACGATTTCAGCTAATCACAGTACATCTGAGGACATTTGCCTTTTGTAAGTCTTCTACCCCTGACAAAATTAATATTGCTTGTGATGATTTGTACTGTTTAGCAAAGTCCTCTGATTATCTTCCATGTGGTTGATATTCCATCCCCCCCAAATACTTAAACTGCCCCCAGACAAACCCCAGTTCTGTACAGACGAAAAATAATGAATCACTTATTAAATTATTTCAGATAAACAGACAATATCAGATCTCTGTTTGTACTTCATGCTGGAGAAAGTGTTCAGATCCTGTCTGTTTCATATTGCTGTACCTGATGCCAAAAATCGACCATTTGCACTACTGCTTCTGCCAAGAAATCCCCCAGGTCCTAGAGTGGTTTCAACAGAGGATATATGAAAAGACAGAACAAATATCATCGTTTGATCCTCATTCCTGTCCTCAAAGCCTTTGCAAACTTAAGCAAGCTATTTTTTATGTTATCTCAGCAAACTCTGGAAATCTACTGAAACCATTCCCAGAACTGGGACTTCGAGCTTGGAAGTTAAAAGGTAAAAGTTTGCATCCCCTAAATATTTTAGTAAAGTAACTGAAATAAAAGATAAGCTAAAAAGAAACCAAAACTAACGTCTCAGTCAGCATCAAGATGGACATATTTCTCTTGCTTTCTTTAGTTAATCCTCTCATATACACTATACCTGAGGCACAGGCCAATGAATTACCAGTTTTGCAAAATGGTAAATCTTCATGAAAATCGTTAGAATCTGGAGGACAGAGTCAAAAATGAAATTGTAAAGAAAAGAGCACATGGTGGCAAACGTGTTTGCTTATTATTCATTGCGCTGCATAGGATGCTGGGTCTGGGCATATTTCACTCTTAAGATGAGTCTGGCCACCTGGTGGATATGTCAAAACAACATCCAGATCACCTCTTTCTTTTCCCCTCATCTTTTCCTGAGCATTACTTCCATAGTACAATTGCACACACCTTTATCATTTCACATAATCTTTCCAATATCACCATATTTCCATCTAAAACAAAATACAAGAAGAAAGTGAGTTGGAACCTTAGTATACATCATTTGAAGAACTAAGAAGCCCTACATCTGAAATTTATCTTTTAAATTGGAATGGTACATGTATCACATAATATATAAAATAAGGGCATTTTGTCCATTTTTAAGAGTCTGGTGAAGTTTCAGGAAAGGTTAGGGAGAGAATGTCTTCTCCAGTTAGATCCCACCACGCCTGAGGTGCATCACTCTGGTAAGCAAAAGTAACATATACATTTCTTCTTCCATGTTTTGACTGCATATCTACAATCAAATTAAGTCACTTCTGATAAGAGAATACGCAAGGAAATAAAGAGAAGCAAACTTGGGATGGTTTCTTAGACCAATCTCTGCAGAAAGAATTTAAGAATTTTCATATTTGAAGAAGATCTTCACTTGAAATTGCTAGGAAACTTAGAACTGATAAACCTCACTTTTCAAATCTGTAAAGTGGAGATAACTGGACTTTCTTCACTGGGTTTCAGTAAAGGTTTAATGAGCTCATATAAAGTATATAACAAGAAGTCAAGTACTTAGTAATTGGTAAATAAAAGTTATACTTAGTAATTATATTTACACTATTTTCCAGAAATATTCATTTGCGTATAAAATTTCAGGTTAATGGGGTGAGTAACAACAGGAAAACCACTACAGGCAAGAATATTATGTTGCAAACTACAAATCAATTTTTCTTCCATTATGTTAGCTATTGCTCACCAGTTACCTTGAGGTTCTATATTTTTATATTTCAGGGGAGGAAATCAAGACAATTTCGTTGGGAGCTCATAAACAAATAAAGAGCAAGAAGATTGCCTTGCACTTCTTTTATACATTGACTGTGCCAAAGACAGTATCAGACATACACAAAATTGGTTTTAACTACATTTAACTTTGAATTATAATATCCCTTTGAATTATATTTTTATAATTCTAAAGATGACAAAATGTTCTTTGAATCATATTCTGACCACTCTGTTTGAACAGTGCCCTATTCAAAGAAAGCTCTTTCGTTTTCTTTTTGTGCCCCTTTCCTTAAAAAAAAAAAAAAAAAATTAAAGGCAGAAGTGCAGGAACATGTCATATATTCACAGGCATCTCATGTAATTTTAATCAACTGTTATCTCAGGGACCTTTCCAAGTGGGATAAAATAGAGGTGCAAAGAACCTAGTGGCTTTTTATTAGCTTGCTTGCTTGTTTTCAACAAAACTTTATCCAATTGCCTATGGAATAGGTTAATGATAATTTGTTATAGGAAAACTGTATTTTAGCTATGAAGTTTTGCTGTTTTCATGGGAATTGTGTAGAGATTAATTGTGTAGTAGTTCCTCAAAATAGCACAGGACACCTATTTCAGATAAGGCAATAATCTAGTGTCGCTACCCCTCCATCCTGCCTGTATGTTAGAATCATCCGGAGCGTTCATCTCTGCCATCCCTGCTACCCCACATGGAACTCTAACTGGAACCCAGCATTGTTATTACACCATGAGGAACTATGCTCGCCTTGTAAACAGGCCATGCCAAGAGCTGGAGAAGTCCCAGTGGAGGAAATCTCATTCCAATTTGGGGATGAAAGTACAATACCCCCTGCCAGGTTTAAATTGGGAGCATATTACTCGTTTTTAGTTAATTCCTCAGCCTGCAGAATAATTTGGCACATGTGTGCAGTATATGTTCCCTCCTTAGGGAACCTGACCTTGACAGGATAGTTATAATTGGGGGGAAAAGTTAATAAATGACAATTATAGTTAAATACCTTATTTACTGTTTGAAACACATGTATTAAAATTAAAAAGAGAACAATCAAAAACAAGAGAAGTGGACTAATAAATTTTTCTTGTCTCTGACTTAATTTTTTGTTAATGTCAAGGTCTGAAGCACCATGGGAGTGGGGGAGTGAAATGAAATATAATGTTTCTCAAAACACATGTATTAAGAAGAAACATAGTTATAGCAAGTTAGTATGGGAGAAGCCATCCTTTTTCTGGGAAAACCATATCTTCCTATGTATTTTCAATCCAATTCTTCTGGATAGACTTCTTATAAGTATACTGGGAACTTTGAAAGAGATTTTTCAGACTCTTTTTCACCTCTCTAAATACATTTCTTTTTAATATTAATAATTGCTAACCATCTCTTACATAAAGGTAGTGTCCATAATTCAGAAAAATACACAAAATTACAAACTCCTATGAATTCAGTAGTGTTTTATATTTTATCATGTTTATATGTTTATATTTACATATATTTATGTTTATATATGTTGTATATTTATAATTAAGTACAATTACATTTGGATATATTTGAAAAATATGATAAAAACAGGTCACCTAAATACATCCATGATATATGGCCTATGGTTATCCTTCCTTCTGATAGCCAAAAGAAGTTGCCAGGTCCCCATCTTAGGTGTCTGCAGTATGTCCAGCCCCTCCCACCATGTTCCTGAAGATTCCTGAGAGGATGCTTTTCCTTCTAACTCCATTCTTCTTTCCCCACTGCTCACCTTGACTTCACGCTACTGTTCTTCCATCTAGAACCATCATCTTATGTGTAAACACACATTCCTCCTCTTCATTTGCTAAAATATCACCAATATACAACTGTGGTAAATATGACTTTCATTCACAGTTTAGGAGAATAGAAGGGTGTGATCACACCACAACAAAGAGGCAATTTAAAACTGAATAGCAAATATCTCTGTTCAGTCATCTCTCCAGCATTCTGTACCAAATATTATTTTTCTACCCTCTTTCTGTTTCTCTTTCTTGTGAGGATCTAAGATGGCTCCATTTTGCTAGGACATGCTCTCTTTTAATCAAGAATTTCTCCCATTTCTAACACCCCTCCTTCAACAACCACCCTCCCCACCACCACAGGCCCACGGACCAAAGAAATCAGGAATCCCACCTACCATGTCTTTGGCTTCAGGAATAAAATGAAAGTCTCTGTTATTTCATTACATAGAGAAATTTAAATCCTTTTTTGTTACTGTCCTGGGTGCTTTGATTAATCTAAATGCCGCATTAAACACATCTTTCTTCCTGCTCTCCCAGAGTAATCTGCCAGACTTTAGTCAACTGGGAACACCCCATCTTTATTTCCCTGTCATAAATAGGGCTGAGAACTATTGATTTGGCCAAAGGCAATGCTCGGGGCACCTCTTAGAATCCATCACAGTGTGCCTCAGCCAGTGCACCACGACCACTCTCAGAAAAAGCTGATTTGTACGTTGATAAAACCATCCAGTGGGCAAATTTGGCCTTTGAGGCAGTTCGGTTTGGGTGAAAGCATTTATTTCTTCTCTAGTTTGTCATAAATTCTTCCTTTTCCTTCTCTTCATTTGCCTTCTGTAATGAAGCTAATGTGCTTACAGAGAAAAGAGTAAAAGAAAGCTAGCAGTAAAGTGTTAATTCTCTCAGAGGCATTGCATTTTAATGCACCTCACAGTCTTAAACCAAGATAGCTTAAAGCAAGAGTATCTCTGGCTATTGATCATCCAAAAGCCAGTGGAGAATATGTCTGTGGGGGACAGGAGCCTTCCCAACCCTAACCCTTTGGAATCATGCAACATAACATGACTTTCTGTGTCGTCTTCCCATATGTTCCCCTTTCATAGACTATCTAACTTTAATAGAGGCATAAAGACGGATGAGAGCCAAGTAAAATCATGTCTTCCTCTTCCAATCCAGAGTGCTAGTTTAATATCTTATTTATGCTTCTTTCATTGTCCTCCAAACTGATTACAGCACAGCCCTGACTTCCTAGTAGGTGCTAAATACATTCTTACTAGAAGTCTCAGTTTCTAGGTTCAATAGAGCATTAATCAATCTCTGCAAGTCAGAAATATGCATTTTGCTTCTCCTTGAAAAGAAGTTAAATTGTAAACTCACCAATCAAGAGGTACACTTGCATTTTGAAATAGTGCCAAGTTAAATATACAGTGACCAGCATCATGTTGCAGTGGTTAGGATTTTGAATCAGAATCAGATCCCCTGGGTCTGCAGCTCAGCTCTGACATTAACCAGGTGACCCAGGGCAAGTTATTTAATATGTCTGGCTTAGTTTCATCATATGTAAAATGGGAAT